ATGATGGACACTAGCACACCATGAAGGTGAACAATCTCACGAATGTAAATCTCAGCCAACTGCTCTGAAGAATAGGTAGTCCTCACTAGAATGAAATATCCGGTCTTGGTCAACCGATCAACAATCACCCAAATAGCATCAAACTTCCTTGAAGTTTGTGGGAGCCCAACTACAAAATCTATGGTTATAAACTCCCACTTTCACTCTGGAAATTCAAGCCTCTAAAGAAATCCGCCCGATCTCTGATGCTCATACTTCACCTGCTGATAATTTAGGCACCGAGCTACAAATTTAATGTGTCTTTCTTCATCCTCCTCCACTAGTAGTGCTACCTCAAGTCCCGATACATATTTGCGGCACCCGAATGAATGGAATCCTGCGAACTGTGGGCCTCCTTAAGAATCAACTCACGTAGCCCCTCTATATTGGGAACACAAATCCGACCCTGCATTCGCAACACCCCATCATCCCCAATAGTAACTTCCTTGGCATCATTGTGCTGAATTGTATCCTTAAGGAAAAGCAAATGGGGGCCGTCATTCTGACATTTTTTGATACTATCATGTAAGGAAGACAGAGAAACCACAGAAGCTAGAACCCAACTAGCTCCAAAATATCTCATCTCACTAACTGATTGGCCAAGGCCTGAGCATCTGATGAAAGCGGCCACTTACCTACCGAAATAAATGCAAGGCTGCCCATACCCACCGCCTTTCTACTCAAGGCATCGACCACCACATTAGCCTTCCCGGGATGATACAAAATGGTATCATAGCCCTTTAGCAGCTCCAACCATCTCCGCCGCCTTAAAGTTAGATCCATTTGTTTGAACAAGAGTTGGAGACTCCAATGATATGTAAATACCTCATAAGACACACAATAGAGATAATGCCTCAAAATCTTCAATGCATAAATGATGGCTGCCAACTCCAAATCAAGAACATGGTAGTTCTTCTCATGGGGCTTCAACTAGTGCGAAGCATAAGCAATCAATCTACCCTCATACATCAAGACATACTTGATACCAATCTGTAAAGCATTACAATACACTGTATAGGAACCCCACTCTAGTCAAAGGTGCTGCAATGGATAAGAAACCCTCCACGATACAACGATAATATCTGACAAAACCGAGAAAACTTTGAATCTCAGTAGCTGAAGACATTCTGGGCCAGCTCTAAACCACCTCTATCTTCTTTGGATCCACCTTAATCCCCTCACTGGACACCACATGTCCCAAGAATACCACCGAACTAAGCTATAACTCATACTTGGAGAACTTGGCATAAAGCTTCTTCTCCCTCAACCTCTGTAGTACAATCCTCAAATAATGTACATGCTCCTTCTAGCTATGTGAGTACACCAGGATTTCATCAATAAAAACCATGACAAACGAATCAAGATATGGCTGGAATATATTGTTCATCAGATGCATGAATGTTGCTGGGGAATTGGTCAGCCCAAAAGACATCACAAGGAACTCATGGTGACCATAGAGGGTCCTGAATGCCGTCTTTAGAATATCCAAGTCCTGAATCTTCAACTGGTGATACCCAGACCTTAAATCAATCGTAGAGAACACCCTCGCTCCCTGAAGCTGGTCAAATAAATCATCAATGCACAGCAAAGGATACTTGTTCTTAATTGTAACTTTTTTCAACTACCTATAGTAGATGCGCATCCGCATAGTATCATCCTTCTTCTTCAAAAACAGAACTGTTGCAACTCAAGGGAATGCACTAGGCCTAATAAACCCATTATCAAGAATCTCCTGAAGTGTCTCTTTCAATTCATTCAACTCTGTTGGTGACATACGATACAGAGGAATAGAAATAGGCTGAGTGCCCGACACCAAGTTAATACCAAATTCAATATCCCTATCGGGTGACATGCCTAGTAGGTCTGCATGAAACATATCCGAAAAGTCTTGCTTTACCGGAACCGAATCAATAGTAGGAGTATCAACACCAACATCCCTCACAAAGGCCAAATATGATAGACACCCCTTCCCAACCATCTGTTGGGCCTTCAGATAAGAAATCACCCTGCTAGGAACATAATCTAGAGAACCTCTCCATTCGATCTTCGGCAATCCCATCAACGCTAATGTCTGGTCTTAGCGTGACAATATAGAATAGCATGACATGGAGATAACTAATCCATATACAAAATCACGTCGAAATCAACCATACTAAGCAATAAGAGATCAACTCTAGTCTCCAATCCTCCAATGGTCATCGCACACGACCGATACACACGGTCCATAACAATAGTATCGCCCACCAGCATAGATACATGAACAGGTGAAACTAAGGACCCACGAGGCATATCCAAATATTGAGTAAAATAGGATGACCCATATGAATAAGTAGAACCAGGGTCAAATAATGTAGAAGCATCTCTGTGGCACATTGAAAAAATACCTTTAATCACTGCATCTAAAGCAATAGCCTCTGGCCTGGTAGGAACATCACAGAATCGAGCATGGCCACCACATGGTCAGCCTCCCCCTCTAGGGAGAGCTCTATCGACCTGAGACCCACCCCGAGCAGGCTGAACGGGAGGTGTAGCTGCTGGTGCTAATATCATCGACCGAGAACTCTACTGTAGAACCCCACTCAACACTCTAGGGAAATCCCTCTATGTGGGAACTAACTAGACCGCTTGCCGAGCTAACTCTGAAATTCTCATCTCGTACTAGGTCACAAACATACCCTCCTAGCATAGTTGTTCAAACTGCCTACACAACTACTCCCTACGGGTTGGCGGCACAAACTTCTCCAAGAAGAGAACACAGAATGCGTGCCATGAAAGTGGTGCAACATCGGTAAGCCTGCCTTGCTCATAGGTCTCCCACCATGTGAAGGCAACCCTCGATAGATAAAAAGTAGTAAATGAGACCCTACTAGTCTCTAGAATACCCGCCGTGCGAATAATTCGCTGGCACCGATCCAAGAAGTCCTGAGAATCCTCTAACTTAGCCTTACTTAATGATGGAGGCTTGAGACTCCCAAACCTCTATAGTCTCTTCTGCTTCTTATAACTCATAACGGGACCCACTTGGGCCTGAGCAACTGCAATCGGCTAGGCTAGTAGTACCATGATGTCTGAAGTTCCTACACCACCTACTATGGAGTGTGGGCGGTGGGAGTCTAAGCACCTCCCCCTGCCTAAGAATTGGCTGGTACGGCTTGAACTGAAATCGCATGAGCAAGGCTAGTGCAAATAGTCAATATCTGGGCAAAAGCCTCTTAAAGGCCTAGAATCACAATAAGTATAGCTGGTGCCCAAGCTGGTCCCACCCGCTCAACCACATCTAGAATCTTCTCCTGAGTTGGAGCAACTGGTGGGTCTGCAGGTGTTGCTCTAGCTGCTGTACGATCTGCACCTCGCCCTCTTTCACGGCCCCAGCCTCTCGAGGCCCTAGCTGGTGGTACTGGTGGCCGTCCACCCAATCTGGAAGCATGTGTCCTCACCATCTATGAGAAAATAGAATAACAGAAATTTGATTTCCAAAATCAATAAATTCGCACCACAAGAATATAAGATAGCGAAGTTTTCCAAAGGGTTTAGTGGCCTCTCGAAGATAAATACAGATGTCTCCGTACTGATCTGCAAGACTTCACTAAACTTGCTCATGACTCATGAGACCTATGTAACCCAGGCTCTGACACCAACTTATTACAACTCAAATCTTACATGTTGTCATGGCGCCTATCACGATACTAGACCCTAATGCTCGACCTCCACACCTTCCTATCAAGAGCCATGTCTTTGGAAATCTAGAGTCGCACCATATCCTGTCTGATCACCTCACCCCAATACTTTTTATGCCACATTCTACCTATTCTCGTACCTGCCAAAGCCAACCACTCACACCTCCTAACCGGGGCATCTAAGCTTCTCATCTGCACGTGTCTGAACCATCTAAGTCACACTTCCTGCATCTTGTCTTCCACCAGAGCTACATCCACCCTCTCCCGAATATCTTCATTCTTAATCTTATCCAGCCTATTGTGCCCACACATCCATCTCAACATCCGCATTTTTGCTATTTTCATCTTCTGGATATGTGAATTCTTTACTGGCCAACACTCAGCCCCATACAACATGGCCGGTCTGACCACCGCTCTATAGAACTTACCTTTGAGTTTCGGTGGCACATTCTTGTCATACAAGACTCCAGACACTAACCTCTATTTCATCCACCCCACCCCAATACGGTGCGTAACATCTCTGTCAATCTCCCCATCTCCCTGGATAATTCACCCTAAGTACTTAAAACTTTCTCTCTTGAGGATGACTTGTGAGTCAAGCCTGACTTCCATATCCTCTTCCCCCGTCACGTCGATGAACCTACATTACACATATTCCATCTAAGTCCTACTCAACTTGAAACCTTTAGACTCCGGGGCCTGCCTCCATACCTCCAGTCTCCCATTAATGCCTCCTCGCATCTTATCAATCAGAACTATATCATCAACGAACAACATACACCATGGCACCTCTCCTTGGATATGATGTGTCAGTGTGTCCATCACTCGGGCAATTAAGAACAGGCTGAACGCAGATCCTTGGTGTAACCCCATAACCACCGGGAAAGGTTCTGAGTCACTTCCCATAGTTTTAACCCGAGTCATAGCTCCATATTACATATCCTTTATCGCCCTAATGTACGCCACCAACACATCTTTCACCTCCATACACCTCCAAAGGACGTCGCTGGGGACCATGTCATACGCCTTCTCTAGGTCAATAAACACCATATGCAAATCCCTCTTCCTATCCCTGTATTCAACCTCCTAATAAGGTGGATAGCTTCTGTAGTAGAATGACCCGGCATGAACTGAACTAGTTTTCCAACATAGACACTGCCCTCCTTATCCTCCCTCCACCACCCTCTCCCAAACTTTCATGGTATGACTTAATAACTTGATACCCCTATAGTTGTTACAATTCTAGAATTCACCTTTGTTCTTGTACACCGAAACCATTGTACTCTACCGCCACTCATCAGGCATCCTCTTCGTCCTGAAGATAATATTAAACAACTCAGTCAGCCATTCCAAGCCTGCTCTACCTGCATATCTCCAAAACTCTAGTGGAATCTCGTTTGGTCCGGTCACTTTGCCCCGACTCATCTTACCCATCGCACCCACGACCTCCTCAACCTTGATGTTCCTACAATACCTAAAGTCACAGAGACTCTCGGAGTACCCCAATTGCCCTAACATAATGTTTCCATCCACCTCTTCATTCATAAATTTATGAAAGTACAACTGCCATCTTTGCCTAATCTGGGCCTCTTCTATCAATACTCGACCATCCTCGTCTTTGATGCACCTCACTTTATCCAGGTCGCGAGGCTTCTTCTCTCTCACTTTTGCCAACCAAAATAACTTCTTGTCCCCACCTTTGCCCTTAAGTTCCTCATATAGCCGACCAAATGTAGTAGTCTTAGCCTCTGTGACCACTAATTTAGCCTCCTTCCTAGACTCCTTATATCTTTCTCTGTTCGCTCTCCTGTGATCCTCGTCGGTGCTCTCTACTAACTTTATGTAAGCCACTTTCTTGGCTTCCACTTTACCTTGGACCACGTCATTCCACAACCAATCACATCGGTGCCTGCTAGAGTAACCTTTCGAAACTCCCAACACCTCTCTTGCTAACTCCCTTATACAGTCCGCCGTTGCCGTCCACATAGCTCTAGCGTCCCCACCACTCTTCCAGGCACCCAGAGACCTCAGCCTCCCCTCCAACTCCTGCGTATTATACTTAGACAAAGCTCCCACCTGATCCTCGACTGACCCCTTACAAATCCCTTCTTTTTCTTCATCAAGATACCGACGTCCATCACCAGGAGCCTATGTTGAGTTGCGAGGTTCTCACTCGGGATCAAATTACAATCCTCGCACAACCCCCTATCACACCTCCTGATGAGTAGATAGTCAATCTGAGTCTTAGCCACCATACTCTGGAAAGTAACCAAATGTTCCTCCCTCTTCGGAAACATAGAGTTCACAATCACCAACTCAAAAGCTCTAGCAAAATCCAACAGTAAGGTACCACCCCATTCCTATCGCCAAAGTCGAAGCCACCGTACACCTTACCAAAGTCACCAGCAGACAACCCAATATGGCCATTGAAATCACCTCCTATGAATAGCTTCTCCGTAGGCAGAATACCCCGCACCATCCCATCCAGCGCCTCTCAAAATTGCCTTTTGACCTCCTCGTCCAAGCCCATTTGTGGCGCGTATGCGTTAATGACATTCACAGTGCTCCCTCCAACTGCTACCTTAATCGCCATCAATTTGTCATTCACCCGTCTAACCTGGACCACTGACTCTCTAAGCTCCCTATCCACCAAAATTCCCACTCTGTTCTTGCCCTTCACGACTCCGGAAAACCACAATTTCTACCCGTCTACATTCCTCGCCTTCGATCCTACCCACCTAGTCTGCTGCAGACACGCTATATTAACCCTCCTCTTCTGGAGAATCTTCGCCAGCTCTATAGACTTACCCGTTAACGTCCCTATATTCTATGATCCAATTCTCAACCTACAAGCGACCTTGTTCCCTTTACCCTCTTTGGGCCCCGTCCCATCCCTCACCCTTGCCCTACTCCCCTCCCCACCACCCGACCTCCCCGAGGACATGACCCTACTCTGCCATTACAAACCACAATCTCTATACCTACAAAGGTGAAAAAATGAAAAGAAAAAACACCACACAGAACAACAAAATGGAGCAAATAGTAACTACAATCCCACTACTAGACTGACTAGAATAGTACGAAATACTACGACAACAAAGTAATTAACATAAGGGACAGAGAAACAGGAGGTGGGAGGTACAATTACCGCAAATAGAACCTGGAACTTTCGACTTGGTATACTCCTGATATTGCGGAACTCGGTGTGTTGCTGCTGCTCTACTTCTTGTGCGCGTGCACCTCCCTACCGCCTCCAAGCAACCACAAAAGTGATACCTGCAAAACACACAAACACCCACGGAACCAATAAAATAGGGGAAATTATGAACCAAGATAATAGGCCGGAGGTACCAATTCCCGCGAACAAAACCTGGAACCTTTGCTGGAGCGGGAGCAAGAGACCAACGAGGAGTTCTTGAATGCATAAAAGAATTGCAATGCAATAAAATTTCCTTGGGATTTTATTTTTTCCGATCCCAAAACCAATCAATCCAATTGTCACCAAAGAAGAAGACCAGGACGGAATTTGAATTTGGCAAAACCCAAAAGTTCTCTGTATCAATATATCCAAACCCCTAATACAATCTGGGCAAAATTTGAAAAATAATCTTTGAAGCACAAATAGAGAAATTTTGAAATCCCTTTAATCAGATGAATTATTTATTAGATTCAAAAACACTCAAATTTCTTTTATATAAAAACGAATTGTTTCTGCCTCCAAAATATTAATGCAAGTTATCCATGTGTTCTGAAAAAAGTTGAAAGAATAAAAGTCGAATTGGAACACTAGGCTGACACTTGGCTCGGCGGCTAATACAAATCGGCGTGAAGGACATTTTCAAGCAAATGTGCTATCATAGCTCAAATTGGAAATTTGATCACTAAAAAGCATTTATCAAGTTCGATCAAGGATTAAACCTCTATGTAGCCTCAACATGTGATCTCGTCCAAGTCACACCTCTATTTGACGTTATGAAATAGTCGATGCAATAGTAATACCCAACAAAGGAGCCGGGGTCGAATTCCATAGGGAGATAAGAATGGGATTTGGGGGTATATATTATAGTGTATTAGCTTGAACTATCTCAAATTGCACTTACACAAACTTTGGTTATTTCTAAATCTAATTTAAACTAAGATTACAAGATGAATAATTGAAACTAGGAAATATTTTTTGTTGTTTTTCAAATGATATAAAAGGCCTAGGGCTATGAACTGCACCTAGGTGTTTGCCTAACGGGATGCAAAATTTAAAGCTTGTTTTGTTGGTCGAGGTGTATTATAGCTATCAGCAATCAAGTACCCACTCAATACCGCTGGTAAGAGAGTGATTTTGCCCAATTCGGCTTTCTCAAGTCCAAATAGGTATTGAACAAAATGGTTGATAAACATCTCAAGTCAGGTGTTACTATCTCTAAGTTCAACCCTTTAATTGAGACTATCAATCTCTTGATTTACCCTACTTTCTTGTTAGCCAAGTTTTCCTAGACTAAATCTTTTTTTCTCAAGTAGAGACCAAGTCAAATAGGCATTAACTAATGTTTGCAACCATTAATTCTACAATTAAAAATAAGAACAAGGCTACATAATTAACACTCAACCATAAACAAGAAATAAATCAAACACCCATTAAGTTTACACTCTAGGGTTAGGTCACAACCCTAGTGAAAATTTAGCCACTCATACTTAAAACAGAAGAAATAGAAGAAGAAATGATAGTTAAACCCATATTGATAATTAAAATGAAATCTATGTTCACAAATCTCAAAATGGCAAAAACTACTAAAGAGATAAAAAAATGTCACTGTGGCTGCTGATATTCAAAACTTGACCTAAAAAAATGTAACTCTTCTATTGTATACAAAGCTGGAAATTTCGGACAAAAATGCCCTTTTAGAGGATCTACGGCTGCATAATTTCATGTGCGGTCTGCACATTGCTTCAACTTCACAGGATTTGAATCTTGCGGCTGCACAATTCTGAACCACGACCGCATCTCTCATTTTCTGTGATCCGCACATTTGCGGGTACGACCGCACAAGGCTCTTCTACGGGTCGCACAAATGCAATTACGGCCGCATAGCTGATCTTCTGCGACCGCACAATAATTATTCAGTCTGCACTTCATTTAAGCTTGAAATGAGAACTCTCTGAACTTCTGCTCTTGCTTAACTTCTGAGGCTGCACATTTCATGTGCGGGCCGCACTTCTCATAGTCCTCTAATATGAATGACTTCACAATCTATGACCGCAGATGATATTCTGCGGTTCGCACTTTGAGCTTCTATGCTTGTTTTTGTCCTTCAGTTCAGATCACTCATTTTTGAGTTGGATATCATCTTAGTGGCTCATTTTCCGATACTCCTACAATTATGCATATTTTATCAGTTTTTGGGAAAACAATTAAATATTTTTGGACTAAAATGAGAGCTAAAAGGCACTAATAAGTAGTCAAAATCCCCAATTATTAGCATGGCTCAAATATATAACACAAACTCTTACAAACACGAGAGATATTCATAGCTTAAAGCTGAACAGTCAATTCTAGGCTTATAAAAGCCCGACCACAACCCGAACATGAATAAATGACCTCGGTGCCCGCACAAGGGTTCATCCCCATGCATGTGGGCACCCAATAGCTCATAGCTATCATAACAATTCAGCAACTAGTGTGTCAACTGAGTTTAAATAAGATACTTACCTCAAGTAAATCAAATCAATCTGCTAGTAGGCCCTTTCCCACGTGTATCGACCTCCGGAAGGATCGACTCTAGCCAAATATAACGTAATACTATCAACAAAACCTATAATAATTGATTCCAAGTAATAACGCTACGATCTTTAACTAAGGTCAAAAAGAACTCAAAAAGTCAACCACGATCCTACATCTCAAAATTTTACAAAACTAACAAAATCCGAACACCCATTCAACAACGAGTCCAACCATACCAAAATTATTAAATTTCGACACCAAATCGTCACTCAAACCTCCAATTTTTACTCTCCAATACATGGATCAAAAACCCCTAATTTTCACCTCAAAACACCAAATCTATGAGGGAAATTCAATAGGTATTCAATATAATTAAATAAAAATATTTAAAAGTGACTTACCTTCAGAAATCTCGCAAAATCCCTCCAAAAATCATCTTAATTTGAGCTCCCAAAGTACAAAAAAAAACTCGAAACACTTCGAATATATGTACTACCATTAGTGGTGTTCATAAAAAACCCAAAGAACTGAACCAAACTTGTAAGGATCCAACATGTCATTTTGAGCTCTAGTGCGTCATTCGGTAGTTTGAGTCTATGAGTAGCTTCACTTCAAGCATTATGACTTGCACACGTGGTCTGAATTGAATTTCGGGAAGTTCGAAGTTAATTTGGAAAGAAAATTCTCATTTCGGAAGTTTTAAGTTGAAAGAATTGACTAAGGTTTTCTTTTTTGAGTAAACGATCTCGGAATCGGGATTTGAAGATTCCAACAAGTTCGTATAATGATTTTGGACTTGGTTGTATGTCATGATCGGGTTTTAGATGACCCGGGAGCATTTCGGTGCCTATTGTAGAAGTGGCATTTTGGAAGAATTTAATAAATTTGGGTTGTAGTGTATTTCAATGTTATCGATGTCCGTTTAGGATTTTGAGTCTAGGAATAGCTCTGTATGGTGATTGTGGTATTGGGAGCGCGTCCGGAAGTGGATTCGGAAGTCCGTAGGTCATTTTGGCATCATTTTGGTGAAAGTTAGAAATTTAAAGGTTTTTGAGACGTTTAACTGGAAGTGGACTTTTGATATCCGGGTTGGATTCTGATTCTGGAAGTTCGAGTAGGTCCATAATGTCGAATGTGACTTGTGTGCAAAATTTGAGGTCAATCGGACGTGATTTGATGGGTTTCGACATTGAATGTAGAAGTTTGAAGTTCTAAAGTTCATTAAGCTTTAATTGGATGTGATTCATGATTTCAATGTTGGTTAATATGATTTGAGGCCTCGAGCAACTTCATGTCATGTTTTGGGATAGGTTGGTGTGATTGGACGGGGTCCTGGAGGCCTCGGATGTGTTTCAGATCATTTTGGGCTACTTTGGATGCTGGTTTACTGATGTCTGGTGTTGTTCTTCACGTTCGCGAGGATCATCTCGCGTTCGCGAAGAAGGATTTGGCTTATGGGATTTTGTTCTTCACGTTCGCGAAGAAGGAAATCTCTGTTGCACAGGTTTAAATTCGGAGGCTCATATCTCGCAATCTACAAGGAATTTAGAGATGATCCAAAAATAAAATTGTACCCCATTGCGTCTAATTTTCGGAAAACTAAACCATTTCAAATTTGAATTTGTGTACAAAAGGTTATGGCTAGTGCACTACAGGCTATCCAGAAAGATGAAGAAGAAATTTGTGTTGCACAGGGCTGACTTTGGCAGCTTATATCTCGAAATCTATAGGGAATTGAGAGATGACCAAAACATGAAAGTTGTAGA